TTTGATGATTTATTTGCTATTTGCTTTCATACGATTACTTTTAATATTTTTTTTAATTTAGTGTCAGCAAAGGACAAAAAATATCAGACTATTGAAAATTAGATTTTACTTTTCTGTTCGTTCACCTTCACGTGGTGAGAGTTGAAAACGCCAATAAAATTTAAAATGCCGACTAAGAGACGAAATTAAATTTACCCAGAGATAAATTTTTCAAAAAAGTGTCCGCCATATTGCATCCGCCATTTTGAATTTCGAAAAATTGACGTCGTATTCATTATCAGCGACCGTAAAAACTCCCGAGTAACCAGTTTCATGCAAATCCGATGAATTTTTCAAAAAAGTGTCCGCCATATTAGATCCGCCCCAAGTAGAAATGTCCGGAGTTAGGACGGAGTTAAACACCGACATGGTACTGACTCAGTACTGACCGTCGGTACTGACTTTCGGAACCCGATCAGTACTGGGAGTATACTGACTCCAAAACCGAATCAGTACTATGTCGGAGTTAGAAAAGTTCTAAAATCAGTACTGGCAGAAAACTGGCTTAACACTAAATCAGTACTGCGAAGGAGTTAAAAAAAACAATCAAAATTTGTTATAATGTAATTAAACATTAAACATCGTTTGATTTATTAACAATTAAAATATTTGCAAAGATTTGTAAAAACATTATTCATCAACAATAATATCAAACATTTTATTAATTTATTATTAACTAATAGATATATTTTAATAATATAATAATAAATTATTATTAATTAATTATTTTTAGAATTATTACGTATTATTAATAATAAAAAAATTTTATTTTTTAAAGCTGTATATATATTTTTATTTATTTATTTAACAAAAATTTTTCTTAAATAAATTTTTTTTTATTATTATTTTAATAAATAATTAGATTATAAATAATAAATAAATAATTATATTAATAATTTTTACCATATTATTATGATGTATCTATTAATTACTACATAATGACTTGATAAAATGTATATAAAGATATATGTATAATAATTTTTCTTGAAATAAATATAATATGCAGTGGATTTATTATTAAAGCACTGTATATATCGGTCCCACAATTCAAAAGGAAGTTTATGTGAGATAACTCCCGAGCTTGCGTGGCTATGCGGTATGTGTATTTGACTTGCGTCCTCGAGGTCTAGGGTTCGGTCCCCCGTGCGTGCGATATTTTTCCGTCTTAGTTTTAAGTGTTTTGTGTATAATTCTTAACAGTGAAGGAGTTTACACCGTAAGCCTTAAATATAAGCCTCCGCGCGCATAAACGGATATACCTCCAGGAGCATATATTTGCGCCTGCGCGAACACGTGGTCAAGGCAAACTCTTTCACAACACAGCTGCAGGCAAACACTTTGCGCAGACGCAAGTATATCCTCATGGAGGCATATCCGTTTATGCTCGCGGAGGCTTATATTTAAGGCTTACGGTGTAAACTCCTTCAGTGTTACATAAAGTATAATTTTAAATAATTAATAACCAGTAATAATAATAATTTAGTCATTAACCCGTTGCCTGTTTCCGACCCACGGGTGGGTCGTGAAAAAGTATGGCCATAACTGTTTCCGACCCACCCGTGGGTCGTGTTCACTATCACTCAAAATAAATATAATTTGTATATAAATTGATAGATATTTTTCTTTATATCAATATTATAAGATATTATAAGGGTCATTAATGATATTTTAGAAAATAATTGAATAATTAGTTATAACTTAAATATATTATACTATTTGAAAAAGTATCAGATTCCGCTGGGCATTTTGGGACAATCATGTTGTATTTTCCTCAAACAGTTAAGGGGTTAATTAAATAAATAATGAAAAAATGAGAAAAATATTTTTTTAAAACTTATTTTAATAAAAGGAATTCTAATAATTAATTAATAATAATTAATACTAATAATAATTATTAGTATTCAATAAATTACTCCCCATGCTTTAATAATTAAATAAGGAGCTTATACTGACCGCCGGTAAAAATCAGTACTGGACAGCGTTACCAGCCAGGGTTTTCCCAGTACTGACTTAGTACTGGAGTCAGTACTGCAATACTGGCAGTCAGTACAAGATCAGTACTATGCCAGTATTACATTTCTACTTGGGGCTATTTTAAATTTTGAAAAACTGACATCGGATTCGTTATCGGCGACCCCGAAAACTCCCGAGTGTACATTTTGAATAGAATGTATTAACTTTTTGAATGTAGGTAGGTGTAAAATTTTATTTTTTCACTATATTGCATTGACTTTTTCGAAATTCTGATTCCGTCATCTTGTTGTTTTCCAAAATATCAGCCACATTAGATTTTGGGTTGATCGAATCACTATTTTGACGCCAGAATCTTAAAGAACGACCCCCAAAAACCCCCCATATCTCATTACCGCTAATATATATTATCTTAAAATATTTTAAATCGTACACTACCGGTCAAAATTGAGAGACCACCCATTTTCAGATGATTGAAAAACATTTTAAAACATAAAATTTATGTAAACTAAAATTTTTTTCTTTTTATTTTTTGAAAGATGTTAAAATTTTGAAAAAAACAAAATCTTTTAGAAGTCATTTAGCCAATATTTTATAGGCATTAACGTGTAATTTTTTTCTTAGAAAATGCAGGCCGTCAAACTTGGACCAAAAAAATTCAAAAAATTTGGAGCATTCTTATTAACAGAAAAATAATTTTTAAAATTCAAACGTAAATTTTTTATTAAATTTACTTGAAAATTCTACACCATATGATGTTTTATATATTCTCTAGAATAGTTTTTAGTACAGAAAAATTGTTCCAAATTTTTTGAATTTTTTTGGTGCAAGTTTGACGGCCTGCATTTTCTTAGAAAAAAATTACACGTTAATACGAATAATAATTAATAATTAATAATTAATTAATATTAATTAATAATTAATAATAATTAATACTATAAGAATAAGTAATTCTTATAGTGTAACAAATGACCTTTAAAATAAGCCTAAGATCATTAAAAAGCGTTTATTATTTTAGAAGTTATTGAAATTTTTGTAAAACAATGAAAATGACGATTTTTTAAAAATATCTAAATGAATTATTGGCCTAACAACTTCTGAAATATCTTGTTCTTTTTAAAATTTTATCATCTATCAAAAAATGAACAGAAAAAAATTTTAGTTTCAATAAATCTTATGTTTTAAAACGTTTTTCATTCGCCTGAAAATGGGTGGTCTCTCAATTGTGACCGGTAGTGTATGTTGAAATCTAAGTAAAATTTTTAGTTATTTGGGCATTAATGGGTTAACTAATAGTAATCGTGTACAAGTTGGAAGAAAAATTCTATTTTCAGCATAATCTATATCAGATTGTATCATTGCAAGCAAATCTGTTAATGATGATAACGGACCCGATAGATAGAATTTAAAATCATCAGTATGTTTATGATACGTAAAGAGTAGAAAAGATTCGAAGAAATATTTAGGAATAGTTTGTGATATGTGAAATGTTTGCTTATTGTCTGTTACGTATGGATATGCAAAGAAATTAAAAGAACAATGACTGAAAAAGATGTGGAAATTACTGACATTTTTTTCAAGCAAACTAAACAATTCTTTTTAGCATCATCTCTCTAACTTTAATATGCTGATTTAATACTCTTTACTAAAGTAAGTGATACATTGTCAATGCAATCGCAACAGGTGCCCTATTTTCTTCGGATCCATAGAACTATCGCACAGCGCTCGTCTTTGACACTTGAAATGAGGGTGCCATTAAAATTCTATTTATAAATATATTTATGAATACACGATGATGTTATCACAGGAAACCCGGGAATATAAATCGTTTTTGACTTTAGAATAAATATCTCAAAAGTAAAGGTATACTTTTTCATCGAGAACTACAAATGGATGATCTTACCCAGTAAAAAAAATTCGATACACGGACCGCGGAGTTCGTATACGAGCTCGATAGCTCGTATGAGAAATATGAGAAATCTCTCATACGAGCCTTTTCCGTAATGAGAAGTGTATAGATGCTTGTATACGAGGTGACTTTTAAAGCATTTTTCTTAATATAACACTATTTTAAAGTAAATGTAGATAATAGAAATGAATTTTCAAAGTAAAACAAAGCTAAATTTATAAGGGAAATGAAGTTTTAAGAAAAAAAGGATCATTTTGTTCAAAGAATTTATTCACACTGAAAGAAGGTTAGAATTAGATAATTCCTTGTTACTCTAACTAACCCACATTAGATATTTCTTGGATGCGGTAAGCTCGATTTTGTATTGGCGGTAGAATAAATAAGGTTTTCTTCATTGCTAATTAATAATATATTATTATTTATTTATTAAATAAATGTTCATATACAATAATTAAATTTAATACAAAATCGTGCTTACCGCATCCGAGAAATATCTAATGTCGGTAAGTTAGAGTAACAAGGAATTATCAAATTCTAACCTTTTTTCAGTGTGAATAAATTCTTTGAACAAAATTATCCTTTTTTCTTAAAACTTCATTTCCCTTATAAATTTAGCTTTGTTTTACTTTGAAAATTCATTTCTATTATCTACATTTACTTTAAAATAGTGTTATATTAAGAAAAATGCTTTAAAAGTCACCTCGTATACAAGCATCTATACACTTCTCATTACGGAAAAGGCTCGTATGAGAGATTTCTCATATTTCTCATACGAGCTACCGAGCTCGTATACGAACTCCGCGGTCCGTGTATTGAATTTTTTTTACTGGGTATCTACAAATTTATATTGCTTTTACTACACTGTAAATTGTTGAAAAAAATTTTTTTTTCCAAAAATGTTTTTAGTAATAAAAATTGCACTTTCTTTTGCATGGTTCATATCGATTTTAAAATGTAGAAACAAAATATTGAAATTTATTTTGTATAAAGGGATTTTTTGCTTCATGATGTGTAATATCATAAAACTTAGTTATTATAAATCGTTTTGTTTTATACATACAAGATATATTATACAACATACCTGGCGTAACGAGTAGCACAACACCGAGGAACAGAGTCCTAGATGCCATTCCCACGATTCGCCAAAGGTCTTTGATAAACCACCGGAAACGGTTCCGCCTCTGATTATTCCTTTTTCTCCCATTGCCATCCTCACCGTCGTCCTCCAAATTTTTAAAACTTCCGACTGAAAGTCTTGATTTTAGTTCCGCCGTTACCACTTCTCTCAGTCTTAAATTCTCGTCCGTAATTTCTTTTCCGCCTTCCTCGATTTCTTTTCTCTTGAATCTGACACATGTCGGCCGACCTGATATTTGCCTAATGACACTGGAAAAAAAGATGAAGTAAAATTAAATTAAAAATTATCATTAGTTATTGAGATACAGCGTCCGTCTTAACAAAGTATTAAATTAAATAATTTAAATTCCAACTGAGACGAACTAGTTTCATAACGATACATACGTTATTCACTTTCTTTTCATTACTTTAGTTTTATTTAATTATTAGTTAATTTTAAATTTAGCGCGCCAGCATTTTTGACTTAAGGCGTAGGGAGAAATTGAAACTCCCCTTCATTTTTTCCTTTTATACCAATCCAACTTGATCTTGGATTGCGGAATCCAAGGTATCTGCGTAAGCAAATTTCCCAAAAGTCCCTATGCACAAAAAAAGGCGGCTTTCGCCGCGAAAGTTACTAAAGTGGTCGAAAGAATCGTTAAAGTACAATGGGCTTACAGAAGCTAAAAATAATAAAGTTTGTACAAATTTTTCTTTTGTCAAAATTGCAGGAGGATTATAATAGAAATGCCAAAAATTAGTAGGGGGAATGCAATGAAAATAATTCCCACCATGAATAATATAATTTGTAGATACATTCCTTTTGCAAAATTTGGTGGTGGAATATACTGGAAATCACAAAAACACGATCACAAAAAATAGAAACTATTTCTCGCTTCATCAAATCCACATTACACATATATAATAGAACCAATGCTAGCAACAGTTATGTGTTCCTTCGTCAAATATATATTCTGTATAATGTAACCATTCCAAGCAATAGTTACGATTTCCTTCGTCAAATGCGCATTTCGCATAATGTAACCAAGTATGTGCGACGGAGGAGAAGGCACAAAACAATCCTAAAACAATTTGTAAATGTAAAGAGAGACCCAGCTCTCTCCAAGGAATTGGAGAATCTTTAGATGTCAAATGAAAGGACGTTGTTGTAGAGGGAGAAGATTCAGAGAGTAAGGGAGGAACTAGAAGCACGTCGATTAGCCGGAGAAGCAAATGTGTAAATGTACCGCCGTGAAATCTCTACCATAATTAAAATCCCTCCTCGGAAGAGAACATCCACTCTTACAGTTCAGAAAGATGCGTGTAAGGAGAATTTGTTGTGAGTTCCCCTTCTAGTGCCCAAGGTGGTGTCTCTTCTTTAAGACAAATTTACATTGATCTTCAGGAATATTAACTTACATGATGTATTTACTCTGAATTTTTATAATCCACTTTTTCTTGCTGTTCGGATGTCGTATATTGAAAAACCCAACTACTACGACAAGACCTACCAAAAGTATATACATAAGATTCTTCATATCATCCCATCCTGTTACAACGACCAGGAGAAATTCCCTTTTCTCATCTTGTATATTCCCAACTAGAAAAATTTGGGCACTTCCGTCATGTCCCTTTCTCAGTCGAGTAAATTCCATCCAGGTTCATGACAACGTTAAACTAGTTTAACGTTTTTTAATAAAAGAATAACATTTTTGCAATTTTATAATAATAAATATAACTTACGATTCGTTACAGAGACAGACTCCAGAATCTTTTTTGTCGGGAGCATTTTCTTCTAGGAGACGTGAATTTTTTCGACTTCTTGAATGTTCGGACACGAGCCTTCGCCGGAGGTCCGTGGCTTGTAGCCCTCCTCCGCCCCCCATTCCCCTGCTCCCATAGTACCTATGGATACAAAAAAACACAGTTTCGCGTTAGCACCAAAATATGGCTAATCGATCGACTATTTATCATGGCACATGTATGTACTTCGACTCCATTAGTTGTATAAAAAAAACTAGATGTAGCGTTCGAAAACTCTGCAAAAATAATGTTCAATTCTTTTTTTCTCCATAAAAAAAATAAAACTTCATCACGAGATAAAGAATTAGATATTTTTTCACCTTTTTCAAAAACAGTGCATTGTAAATTGAGACTTTTTGAAAACAATTTAAAAACTAATCGAAAGTTATTAACATGATTAAGCACTCCACTTATTTTAATTTTAAAACTTTATTTTCGGAAATATATGTTTCCTACAGTTTTCATGTTAAAATAAATAACCTAAAGCACTTTTAATTCACTGAATTTATGATTATGTCTTTAAATACTCTATCCTTAATTACTTTTCCAAGAAAACTGGAAATTGGTTTCAATTCTGGTTGCTGGTGAATATAGAGATTTTAACTCAACTTACAAGACTTTGTTCACTTACTTCTCAGCTTAAGTAATATCAAATACAATTCAAAGTTTTCACACTTGATCTCATTACCTAGTCCATTAAAGTTTTTCCTATGAGTTTCTAGTAAAGTTTCATTCCCGAGGGAAAGGTGGAAGTTTTCAAGTCAGAAATATCATTTTCATTGAATGAAAAGTACGGTAAACATAAAACTTTTATTGGAGTTTCAAAAACAAGCTGTACATTGTGGTGAGGCAAAAGTTTTTTTTCACCCAAATACCTCGAAGCTAGAGTAGGAATACTTATTTGCCATTGACCATCCAATAATTTAAGAGTGGCAAGTTTAAGCCAGAAATTGCAATTTGCTTTTTGCAGCAAACATCATTGGTCAATAGAAAACTAATTCTACTGACGAATACTTTAGAGATTTCAAAATTTAAAAGTAATGAGTTTCAGAGTAATGAATTAAAAGCAGAAACTTTAGGAGTTATAATTCAACAAAAGTTGCCATCAGTTCAAGATTTGTGATCACGAAATTGCGATTCAGAAGTTGAATAAATGTAGTTAGCTTCATTGTTACTTTTAATGTCGTGATAAAATTTTGTATGATAAAATAAATTAGAGATAAGATAAAAATAGAAGTTACTTCCAAGAATGTCAATTTAAAAATCATATTTATTCAAAGAAACAACTCCAAGGAATAAAAAATTAAATTTTAATTAATTTTGTAAAACATTCTCCTCTTAAATTGACAATTCACATGAAGTGAAATTTAAATAAAAAATAGAATGTCTCATGTTAAAATTTTTTACTAGTTTTCAAAGTGGCACTAAACAAGCAAGCATCAAACGGATTTTGAAGTACCCGTAGGGATTCTCTCTTTACAGAGAATCTAAACGGCCCTCAAGGAAGCTGTAACAGAACGTGAAATCTAAAAAAACATCAAATTCAACTCACCCTTGCCGCTCCGCTGCCACTACCGCTGTCCGGCTCGTCTGCCTGCGGCAACGATTTTTGCTCGCGTCGCCACTTCTGCCAGAAAAGCCGAATTAACCACCGCAAAGTATCGTTAGCATTGCCTGAAACATAAAGAAAATTTTTGTGTTTAAGAAGTGTTGCCTTAATAGAAATGGGTTGAGTTTCTAACAGTAGTTAGTAAAACTGCTGCTTTCTCTTACTACTGACCCCCAGTGGTTTCAAATACCCAAAACAAAGTTAAATTCGAAAAAGTTTCTATTAAGCTATACTTGGTGGATTCCACGTCAGTTCAAAACACTTATTTTCATGACTTGTTGGGATTTGGCTGTACTTTTGTAAATTTATTACTTTTAAAGTAATAAACAACCACCAAATATTTTTTCAAAATTTTAAAAATTACCAAAAATATGGCATTTTCAAAATTTTTGTCTTTTTTTCAAGTGCTATAACTTTGGTTCTAATTAACCGATTTTGGATTTTAAAAAAAGGATTTCTTTGGATTTAAGTATATTTTAAGTTAAAATTAATATAAAAAAAAATTCAAAAAATTTTTTTTTTGAAATTTTGAAAAATTAAAAATCCTTTTTTGAAAAAACATCATCTTTGATTTTTTTCAAAATTTTACTAAATGTTAGGGCAAATGTGCTTTACATGTCCTGTAAGTTTGATCTTGGGATCTCAAAGGGATTCGGAGTAAAAAAATAAAACGTAACCACATATTACGAACATATGTGGCAAAATTCCTCAACTGTGCAGGTAAAAAAATGAATTTTCTCTAAACTTTGCTAAAATGTTACTATTATTAGTAGAAGTGTAAATATTAATTTTTTTTTAATTTGATAAAATATTTTTTGAGTTATGGAGTTTCAAAATTTTGATTTTTTTGAAAATATCTTTTTTTCGATTTAATATATTGATAGGGTAGAGTGGGGTGAAAAAGTCCATGGTGTAAAAAAGCCATTTGAGTTTTATTTAAAAACTATTAAGCCGATTTATCAGCTGTTTAGAATATAAATACTATTAGGTAATACGCAACTTTTGAATCTAGTTTGATGTACCTAGATTAATATTGTTTTTATTGTAATTTTAATTTTTTGTTGCTTTTTTGAAAACATTTTGGTGAACTTTTCAAACATATTACAATCTGATTAAGTGAACGAATAATAAAAGTAAATGTTTGTACATAAGGAGAAAAGTATACCGAAAACGTATACAATGTTAATTTTTGGAAATTGAACTGAATTAACAATTTATTTTTGCTTTTCTAATAACTGGTCTTGGGTGTAAAAAAGCCAGGGCAAAAAATCCATTGAATATTTTGTGAAATTCACTTGTTTTCTATTTAAACTAACCTTAATTCTTATTTTACAAAATTTCTCGTGTTTATTTAATAAAATAAATTAAACACGACGAAAAAGTAGTTCAAAGTGCATTTAAAAAATAAACAATGAATAAACGGTTGCAACGAAATATGTTATCTGTGGTGAAACTTAAAAAGAACTTCTAAAAAAGGTTAGAAAAATTGGCAGTGCAAATCGAAAACAGGTAAACTTAATATAATTTTCAATTTTGCTTGCTAAAAACTCTTTCATATTTATTAAAATATTTTTCAAATAAGACTATTTGTCATATAAATAAAGGAAAACTATAAAAATACCTAAATTGATAACATGTTTTGCTAAAATCGTAGGGTGGCTTTTTCACCCCACCAGGTGGTGCAAAAAAGCCACTTGCAGTGCTTTCGTAAAACTCTTATAACTTAGTCCTTTCATGGGATAAAAAATATTTCCGTCAAGAATTTTCAAGCTTAATAACTAAACTTTCAATAACAATTGGAAATTTGAGAAAAAAATTTTAAGTACAGATTTTACTATTTTTAAAATAAGAATATATTCTTATTTACGATAATATTTTTACATTCATTCATATAATATATTAAAATTTTTTTAACGTAGTCTTCTTTTGAATAAAATATACTTCATTAGATGTTCATTTAATTTATTTACACAACATGTTTTGACATATTCATGTCCTCATCAGGTTATTAATTTAGAAAGCATTTGTAAAGCATTTCTCATTGTTTCTTAATTAATAACCTGATGAGGACATGATTATGTCGAAACATGTTGTTTAAATAAATTAAATGAACATCTAATGAAGTATATTTTATTCAAAAGAAGACCACGTTAAAAAAATTTTAATATATTATATGAATGAATGTAAAAATACTATCTTAAATAACAATATATTCTTATTTTAAAAATAGTATATACTTAATTTAAGTATACAATATTCTTAAATAGGAGCCAAGATGGTATTCTTAAATTCAGATTTACGTTTTTTCGGCAGGCGAACCTCCCTTGTCTATTCGCAGAATTTTCTTTTGGCCAACACATTTATACAATGCGTCAGCTAATAATTTATTTGAACTAATTATTTATCAATCAAGCTTCATAAAGTATCTGTCTTTTTGAGAAGGTTGGATTCGAATAAAAGATATAAAAGGATCTGATGTACACAATAATTTATTGAAAACATCTTCGTCAGTTGCAGATCTGAACCATTTTCTAGAATGATGTAATCTATAGTTTTTATAATCTTTATTTCTGGCTTCTTGGGCTTCTTTAGATTGTTGTCCAAGAGGAAAAATAGTAAGTATAAACTTATCAACTATGTTTAACTATATCTCCGAATGTCAATTTTAAGTGAAATTTAAATTTAGGACACGAAATGTCTATCAAATAAGTTAGAAAAAAGAATATTCGTCTTCATTGTTGTTAAATAAATCAATAAATATCTAGCAAAATTGCGCGCTACAGCGCGTCTAATTTTTTTGTTTAATGTATAATAAAACTTTTAAATTTAATGTCATCCCGTGTGTAGAACCAATAAGGTTCTACCTAGATTTCCCCTTTATTAACTTGGTCCTAGCTTGTTTATCCTTGTAGGCTCTAGATTGAAATGTCACGCTCTTCTACCCTGGTTCTACCTATAGAGAATCTAGTTAGGCCGAATAAAAGGAACAGTTTAATTAACTATTTAAAAAAATTATTTATTCTTATTTATTATTATTGAGATTCATTATTTCAACTTTTTTTTACCTACTTTTGTTATCATGTAATTTATAATACTTAATTCCTATATACTAACAGAGAAAAAATCCCCACACGTTGGGAGTTGAACGCACGACCCTAATATTCGTAAACCGATAACATAACCACTTAACCACGCTCGCTCGGTACGATGCGTTGCATGATACTTCAGGTTATTCTTGTCATCATAAGTCATATGAACTATTCCATTATAAATGCCTCAAAATAATAAAACTGAAGTCAGTAACATTTTCGTTGACGCAAAATGAGAAAAGAATTTTTTTAAAGATCAAGATGCAAATAATTTCTGATAAAAAGAACTTAATTGTTCTTTTAATTACATCCTGCATAGATTTTTAATCCAATCGGGGAGGGAAAGTCAATTGTTATTTAAAAATTGAAGTTTTTATCTCATTTCGTCGACGTAAACGTTGGAAACTTCAGTTTCATTCAACAAAATATGATTTTAACAGAAGTTAACAAATCCGTGAACGGTTTTAAAAATTTAACTTGAAAAATATATTGTAATGCAAATTTTAATTGAGTTAATTAACTGAAGCTTAAATCAAAGCTCATAAAACTTTAAATAAATCTTTAATATCAGCAGTTTTTCAATGTTGGGCGCAAAAGTTAACTGAACATTGCATGAAGTAAAAATTTTTTTTAATTTAAATGAAAAAAAAAGTTTTGAAAAACTTAAAAAATTAAAGAAAATTCTAAACATTCATGCAATGTTTAGTCAACTTATGCGCCCAACATTGAAAAACTGAAGACATTTAAAGATTTATTTTAACTTTCATAAGCTTCGGAACTAAGAATATGCTGTTATCAGTAACTTTCTACTAATTATCAGTAACTCAATTCTGATAATAGCAATTAGTAGAATTCTACTGATAATCTGTCAAATTTTACAAATGAAAAGTTAAAACTAAACATTTCAGTTCAATATTGTCTCAATCTTGCTATGAGATGTTTAAATATTACTTCAAATTACACATAAACAATTACTGATACATATTTTTAAATATATTTATAACTTATAATCTAACAAGAAGCTCTAGCTATTACCAAGCTAGGGCCAGGTTAAGGTACATTCCAAGCTAGGACCATTATAGACCCAATAATCAATATTGGCAAACCATGGCAATTTCCACACGGGATGTAGTAAATTTCTTTCTTTACCCAATTTCTATATCTACTGATTTTATAATAATAATAATAATATTATGACATAAACATATTCTTAAAGTACCGTAAGTGAGGCTAAATTCGCTCAATTTTTCAATTCTTTTTTAAATAACTTCGGGAAACGAAGCCGTTTTTTTGTGAGCGACTTTACCTTTAAATGATGGGTAAATTCGCTCACCATTATTATTCTGGCAAAATATATTATAATCTACAAAAATGAAACTAAATATTTTTTAGAATCAATAAAGAAAAAAATTAAGAACAATATACAAAGTTATTGGAATAAATATTTAATATTGTTTTATCAATAAGTAATTAGATTCAATCATTCAATCAAACGTACTCATAACCATAAAAAACAAGGTTAAGTTTGACAGTTTAGTGCTTAAACCGTTTTAAATCGTTTAATTTTCAGTTATAAGAGTACTATTATTTAAAAAAATCGAATTATAAATTAAAGTAATTAACATACTTAAAATATCCAGGCCCAAACATCTTTTTTGTAGACTTATTTCCTGAGCGAATTTACACAACAAATTTGAATTTTTTTTAAATTGATTTTTTGAAGAATCTGTTTATTGCTTTAATTTTTGTGCTTTATAAAAATCATGTTGGAGATACAGGAAATGTAATGTTCAGAAGTATTCAACTTAAAAATTTTGAAGTAAAGCTTTATTTCCTACTTTTTCATACTACTTGTTCAATATGAAAATTATTTACTTGTGTTTTAAATATAATTTCTACTGAAAGTTACCAATGAATTTGCTGCAAATAAATTTTAAATTAAAGTTTACCATTTATATTAACCAAAACAATTGTAA